AACTGAGGGGTTTTTGTTGTTTTGTTTTTTAAGAAGAAAACAGGAAGAGTAAAACTGGTACTTCTCAAATAATAAAAAGAAGGATATCCTCAGAAATTAATTCTTGGAGCAAACTTATTGCTGTAACACTGTGGTTAAGAGCACTGGACTTTGTAGTTGAAAGCTCGGTTCTGCCACCACCAGCTCTGAGGCCACAGGGAAAGCTATCTGACTTGTGCTTTTGTTTCTTCTAGAGCTAGTAGAGGATTAAATAAAGGAAAGTTAGTCAAATGATTAACGCACTGTCTATCCCATAGTAAATGTACAATACAAGGTAAAAGGTCTTTTTCAACATATCACCATCATCATGATTATTATCAGCATCTAAAAAGGATCTGAAGAAAAGGACTGCATGGTGAGATTTCCAACTTTGCAGGTAATAATGAAGAGCTAAGTTAATGGAAATCGACCATAGGAAATGGGAAGAAAAGGAGCAGGTGAGTTTTGATTCAGGCAGGTACAGAATAAAAACATTTGGGGAAGAGGGGCTAAAATCTTCTCTACACATAAATACTGAGGAAGACCCAGAAAATGGGAGAAGCCAATGGAGAGGCCTCCCTGAGAAGAGAGCCCAAGGTGGCTGCTAAACCAGCTCCCATGGGTCAATTTTTGGCAGCAGAATATTAGATTCAGTGAATCTCATCTAGCAGGAAATTCTTGGGCTTTCATTTCCCACTGCATTTTACCCTTTCTAAAGCTCCTTCTCTGATTTCCCTTATTGCTGTGTCTCTAGAGTAGGCAATTGTTAGAACAGAAATATTGCCAATGTATCTCTAAAAGAGGTCATCATATCCTAACATTCCAATTAATTCAGGAGAGTGAGGGCGACAGGTCACCAGAGCCAAGAGGGGAGCTGAGCAGGCCAGGAGCTGAGATGGAGCTAATTGAATGTAAGGAGAAAGCAAAATAGGTTGACTGAAAGCTGAGTGCCCTCTGGGAATTTTGTGTTTCATCTTTCCTTCATTTGGTTCAGGCCCTACTTTCTGGCTTGAACAAATTCTGTCCAAATGGAGTTAAATCACGAAATTCATTCCCTGGCGCAGGTTTTTCTTTTCACAGTCTTGTCTCTATATTAGCAAAATAACCCATGTCCCATGTTATGAGATAAGCGAGAGAAAAACATCTGGGTCTGGGGGTTGTTATGAAGCTGTTCATGCCAGAGGATTTATTTGGAAGGGTGATAAGGATTTGAAGAGACTGGAGGAGGGACAAGGGCATTGCAGGGCTGTTGAGCCCAGGAGGAGGCTGGAGAGGGCAGAGTAAACTCTCAAGGTCAGCAGTAAACAGCTGACTAGCTCATAAAGAAGAGCAAGAGGTAGGGCTGGAAAGCTAGCTTTGCTCATTAGAAGTCATGTAAGCTACAGGTTTGAAAACAAAGCTCTCTCTTAAAAAAAAAAAAAAAAAAAAAAAACCCTGTTGCATGCCAGCCTGTACCCCAGAAAGAAGGTGGAAAGGAAAAACCCAGTGAAAGAGCATTCCTTGAGAAAATAGAAAATACTTAGGGAAGAGAATAATTTAAACTCCAGTAAACATTAAAAACATACAAATCAGACTAATTGAAGGCTCTGGACATCAGTGCTTGGGGGGAATGGTAGGGAGAGTCAGACACGGAGTGTAAAGAGCATGTAGGCCCAGGGAGGGCAGCTTCTGAAGTTGGCCTGTTCTGTTGAGGAGCCTCTTGAAAGTCTCAGGCTTCAGGCTTCCTGACAGACGTGGGCCCTTCAGCCAGTGGTGTTTGGTGATGAGAATGGAGCAAGGGGAAGGGGAGAGAATATAGAAACACCAGATATAGAATCCTGGACATATTTCACATTCTGTTTAGATTCAAATTCCCAAGATACCAGACTTCTGAGCCTCACTGTCTCAATCCTACTCTGCTTCTCTCACCAGGACCCTCGACGCTTTCCACTCTGCAGGTTCCTGGCCTCGGGGCCCCTTCTGGGGTCTTCTGCAGCAAACAGATCCTTTGTAGACTCAGTTTCATAGAAACAAAACAAAAGATAAAATTGAAAGACAAGACAGGCTCATCCTTTCATACTTGTCTTAGTTTTATTCTAATTTCCCTTAGTTTGTAGTAGGCAAGGAAAGGACTGAAAATTGTCGGTTGAGCTTTTTTCAATATATTATCTGATGAAGGACTTATATCCAGAATATATTTAGAACCCTTCATATCTACAATCAAAAGATAATCAGCCAAGTTTCTAAAAGATGGGCAATAGACTCAAAAGGACACTTTATAAAAGTAGATATACAAATGGCCAATAAGCATATGAAAATGTGCTTACCACCCTTAGTCATCAGGGAAATACAGCTTAAAACCATAATGAGATATCACTTCACATCCACTGGCATGGCTAAAATTAAAAAGACTGATAATGCCAAATGATGGTATGGATGTAGGGCAACTGGAAATTTAATATATTGCTTTTGAGAATGTAAAATGTTAAAATCACTTTGAAAAACTCTGACAGTTTCTTATAAAGTTAAACACACACCTGTCCTATGACCCTTCAATTCCACTCATAGATAATTACTTGAGAGCAATGAAAACCTATGTCCACAGAAAGACTTGTATGAGAACTTTCACATGAGCCTTATTCGTAATGAACAAACACTGCAAACAACCCTAAAGCTAGTCAGTGGGAAAATGGATAAACAAATTGTGGTATATCTATACAGTGGAATACTACTCAGCTGTAGCAAGGAATGAACTACTGATAAACACCACAACATGGATGAATCTTAAATACAACAAAATGTTGAACAAAAGAAGCCAGGTGTTAAAAAAAACCCACATGATTTTATTCTCATGAAATCCAAGAACAGACAAAACCACATCTATGATGGTAGAAATGAGAAAGTGGTACCTGGTTGGGGGTTGGGGGTTGGGGGGGCAGGAACTGACTATAAAGGGGCGTGAGTAGACTCCCTAAGGTGATGGAAAGATTCTGTAGTTTGGTTTTGGTGATGGTTAGCTACACGGGCATATAAAATTGTCAAGACTCATAGAACTGAATGTTTCAAGTGTCTATTTTATTATATGTAAATTATACTTCAATTTTTAAAATACAAGGAGAAAGATATTTATAGACATAGTCCTATAAAGACTATAAAGGCCTATTTATCTTATAAATTATTTCTTATAAAATGGCTTATTCTCCTCAGTTTAACCCCTTTCTCTAGTTAGATAATAAAGTACTTTTGAAAGATGGGGCTACAACAAAAACCTGTTTTGCCTGCCAACCTGCTGGTTCCCAGATCCCCCAAGGACTCCCCATGATAAGTAGATACTGGTTTTTCCTGCTGAGCTTAGTGGATCCCTGAGTTGACCTGAGAAGACGTGGGGGCATGAAGTGAAAACCTAGGACAGTGAGGGTGGTATTTTTACAGTTCCCGCATTTCTGTTTCAAAGAGAGCAACTACACTTTCATCTGTTTCTGTTTTGCTTGAAGAAAGGTCTTACTGTTAGACAAAAAGAGGAATCCTGTGACCGAGACAGCAGTCCCCTCTGCAGGACTGCTTGGCTTTTCCATCCTGGTGTGCATGGACCCAGCACAGGACACACGAGTGCCTTTCCAGTAGCCTCCATCTGGTCTTCTATTTCCCTGTGTTCCTGGTGCTGCTCAAGTTTGGTAACTGGGAAGGTTATGCCACATGTTAGCTGGGATGAGACTGGCATAATAAAAACCACTAAGCCAGGTCCCAGGAATATGTGCTTCTAAGCTGCCTGGTTGTACTGCAAATGTGTGAACTGGAGTAAGACTTTCATTTCCTCTCCTTGGAAAAAGAGGATGGCAGTATGAGGGTATTTCAGAAAGTTCATGGAAAATTAGGATTGAAAGATAATGCAAAAATCTTTCCATGGACTTTTTGAAGTACCCTTGTACCCATGCTGTTACCTTCACAGAGCCTTGTGGGGGTAGCATGAGATAAGGGATCTGAAAACCGTGTTTTAAAAAGTATTAATTTTGATTCACATAGATGGCATTATTATCTAAGTCACAACTTCTGAGTTCCTACTCTGTGGATGATTATAGAGGTTGTAAAGGAAGTGTAGAATTTAGTCTCTATTTGCAGAGGACTGAGAGTAGACCAGGTGAAGTCATGTGAGTTAAGGTATAGAGTAATAAACAATTAGCAAGTTCATATTAGGGCACTGTTTCCATTCATTACATGCTTCAGTCTTCATTAGAACTATTAATGCCTTTCAACTGATTATAATCTGCTTGAATTTCTAGAGGTCTGCTATAGATTTACAACCTTGTTTAGTTACTATTTCCACTTATCAGCCTTTGAAATAGAGGGAGAGAATCCTGCACGATGGAACATAGGAACCAGATCAGGACCCCCAGGTTTTATGTACACCAGCTCTTTAACTGATTGTGTAAACTTGAGCCATTCCCTGGGCTTCTCTATTCCACAGTGTTTGTTTGTGAAGTAGACACACTACTTAATTTCCGAGGACATTTCCAGTTATGCAGTTTTTAGAGCCCCAGTTGTGGGATAGTGGACAAAGTCTTTGTTGTCAGTTGAAGAACTGAGCTATGTCAGCTTTGCTTTGCCCCTCTCTAGGAGAGGGGATTTGGGGTAAATCACTCCATCTGTCTATCAGCTTCATCTTCTATAAGTGGACCTGGACATCTCCACCATGCCTGCCTCACAGGGTCATCGTGAGGATCTAATGGGAAGGGGTATGAAAAAATCTTATAAACCATAATTCATGATATAAACATTTGCTGCTGTTTGTTTGCTGTTGCTATAGACACAGAAACAGAAAACAGTTTTAAAGCCATGTATAAGTATATGTGGGTGCATGACAATGTTGCTTAAATATCGTCTAAGGGTCAAAGAGATGTGATGCAGAGACTCATCTGAGGGTTGGGTTGGAATCGGTGGGCATCAACCTAGCAGTCTCTGGTGGACCCAGCGAGCTTGTACTCATGATACTGGTTCCCTCACAGGTGACAGCAGAGTTAGATGCCTGGAATGAAGACTTGCTGCGGCAGATGAATGACTTCAACACGGAGGATCTGACTCTGGCAGAGCAGCGGCTGCAGCGCCACACAGAGCGCAAGCTAGCCATGAACAACATGACCTTTGAGGTCATCCAGCAGGGCCAGGACCTGCACCAGTACATCATGGAGGTCCAGGCCTCAGGTAGGCGATCTCCCTCTTTCTCCTGGCCTGGAGATGATGAAAACAAGAGTGCCAGCTTGCCGCCCGCGAGCACTTCCATTTTGTTTATTCATTGTATCCCCACAGGTGCAAAGAATAGAGATTTTTACCCCCATTTTAAAGAAGAAGCTGAAGCCATGAGAGCTGAAATAGACTGTCCAAGGTTGCCTAGTTAGGCTGTGGTAAAGATGGGAATAGGGCCAGGGTCTTCTGGTGCTATGGGGAGAATGGGAGAACCAATGATGGAAATTAGCACAGATTTTTAAAAAATGGTGGCCTGGACAAACAAATCAAAAGCAGTCAGACATCCATGCAAATTGCATTCTAAAGTGTAGCTGTCTCCTACTCTGCCTCCACTCTCCCCAGCAACCCCCAACACACATTCTCCTGCACTGTCCTTCACTCGCAGGCTGTCTCATCTTCTGCCCATGCTTCTCAGAGTCTTCAATTTTTTATCAGTGGTCTGTGAGTGACTGTAAGCAGTGCTGATAAAAATTTATGGCAAGATCATATAATTTTATAACTTCTCAGAAAAACATGGCTGAATTTCCCATATTTAACTTCTTTTCCTGCTCAAGATTTATTCAAAATTTATCCAACAAACACATGAGCCCTTTCTATTAAACCTACCTCTCTCCAAAACAGCCCTTGATATTAGACCTGGAGAGAGCCATAGTGACCCCGAGTACAACTAGCCTAGAAGAAAAGATGTCACTTTTCTGGCCCAGTACCAGTGGACTGCTGGAACCCAAGTCTCCTACCACCCAACCCGTCCCGTTGCCCTCCCACCAGGTCCTTGTTCGCCCTTGGTCCTTACTCTCCGGGATGAAGCAGACAGGAGCTGAGGCCATCAACTCTTTAAAACACAGTTGGGCCATGTGTCTGCTGATCATGAAGGATGTTAATTAAAATCATGAGATTGTCAAGGGGACCTTAGCAATCATGCTGAACTTTAGGGTACTGTGTTTCTTCTGATGACCTGAAAGAGTAAATACCAGCATTCAAAGGAACTTCACTTCTAACCAAAGGAGGGTCAGTCTAGTAAATTCTGTTCACTTTCGTCAGCATAATCTTACTTGAATTTTCATTCGTGTTGTGACCAGACTGCCTGTGAGAACCAGTCCAGGTTACAGGTATGCAGCCCGTGCTCCACACTGCCCCAGGAAGGCCCACTCACCTTGTAGTCTTTCTGGGGATTTTTTTAAAAATGACAATGCTCTGACCCCATGCCCCGATATTCTGATTAAATTACCGTTGAATGAGACCTGGGCAACAGCAAAAAGCTTCTCAGGAGATTCAACTGTGCTGCCAGGGCTGAGAACCACTGCTTTTTATCATGATAATTAAATCATAACAGCTGTCATCTATGGAATGACCCACTCATGGCTCTGAAAGTGTGGTGTCACACTGAAGAAAGATCAGTAGTGTCAGCATCACCTGAGAACTTGTTTGAAATGCAAGTTCAAGGACCCATTCCTAGAATCTATCATATCAGTTTCTGAGGTGGGGCCCAGCAGTCTGTGCTTCAATAAGCCCTCCAGTTGATTCTGGTACACCTGATCTAGGACCTTGCTACTCAGTGTGGGCACTGGACCAGCTGACTTGGGAACTGGTTAGAAATGCAGAATCACTGGCTTTATGTTAGACTTGTAAATGTGAATCTTCATGTTAACAAAATCTGCAGGTAAATCATATGTATATTAAAGTTTGTGAAGCAGTGCTTCTAGGACACAGACTGTACCTTTTCAGGGCCTTATTAGGGAAAGTGGGAAACTGTAATCCTTTCTCCGTGATTGAGAAACTTATCTGGACTCAGGGTTTAGCCCTAGGACTTACCTGCACAGTGCTCACTGTAGCTGGTTATCCAGAGAAGACTGGAAACCATGAGAGAACGCAGACTCAGTGCCTAGCTAGGAGAGAGGCTGGGCAGAGGAGTGATGCAAGAATGCTCACCCTTCATCCTTCAGAATTGATGTGTCTAGCAGGAGAAAGAGCTGTGTCTACGTGGAAACCTGCAGCACTTGTTACCAGGGTGCTGACATGACCTTGGGTAAGCTAACCTCTGTCCCAAGAGCCAAGTATCCATGGTAACAGAAAGACTGCTGGAAGCTGGCTCTCTCTGAGGACTGCTTGTGACTGGGGGTTGTCTGTGCTTGGTGTCCACCTAAATGATGAGGGCTGAGAGGGTGAAAACACCCCCAGGCGGGTGAGCTGCCTGCCCCCACAATATCCTCTTCTAGAAATGAGCTTTGTCAAAGAGATTTAATCGGCTTCTTCAGCCCTGTCTGCTGAGGCTGGCTGTTGCCTGCTCCTACCACACCTAGCTATGCAGTTGTCAGGCCTTAAAAACTAACACCACCTTAAGTGACATTACAAGTGACGCCATTATGGGCCCACAAGGGTGTATTAATGTGGCAGCCTAAGACGGCGCCAGGAGGAAGTAGGGTGAGGGTGTCTGCGGGAACCTTGCCTTAGCCATTATTGGCCAAATATGCGCTTCCATGCTCGAGGTTGCAATAGCTAGGCATTGAGACAGGATGCATGCTCTCTTGACCTTTAAGCTGATAAGATTATGTAAAAAACCTCCCCTCCCTATCTGCCTATAAAAGCAAGTGCTTGTGTGATAGTAAACGGAACTGCCTCGACAGAACCCCCACCGTCTGAGTGTCCTTTAACCTGGGCTGTTGGGGCCGGTGTGCTCACCTCTCTTCACGGCTCTCTTCCCCTGTCTCCTTCCAAAGGGGACTGGAGGGAAAGAGTAATCCAGGCCGTTTGCTCGCTCACCAGAAGGAATGAGGCTAGTGCTGTACAGGTCGGCCACCGGTGGCAGACTCAACATGCAGTCTGGCTTAACCCATGAGGCTTCAAAGGGCATGAATCCAGGAGTTTCAGGAAAGCTCATTCCATTTGTGGCTGAATGCCTTGTCCTGCAGAGGAGGCATCTAGCTCATCTCTAGGGTTTGAGAAGGGGAGGGCAAAATTACACCAGAGCTGGAGGGTGGGAGTGAGGGATGGACCCATGATGGGCCTTGCCCCCCTGATGGCCAAGAAATGCAGGACTTTGGAGACACAGGACTGAGGCAGTAAATGGCTTGGGCATTCACAATGTTTATCTAATGAGCTATATGTGGACTAAAGGTAAAATAAGTTGTCTTAGACAGTTAGCAAAATTAAGATCTTTGTTGGTATTTAGTCCTCTGTGATAAATTAATTAAGGGCTTATGCTTTGATTTTATAGTAGTAAATGGAGTTTCCATATGCTTATTTTCAAGTTTGAAGTTTATAACATTGAACCAGGTTCTACTAAATCTCTCTGGTGTGCTAACAGTTCTAACCAAAGCAAAAGCCTTTGCTTAAGTCAACATCAACCTTAGGAATAGAAGTAAATAGGAACAGTTTCTTAACTTGCTCATTGTCTTTCCCCACTATGGCATTACCTGTTTGAGCCTCAAGTTGGGAGGTGGTAGGTTTTGCTGGAGAGAGTTCCAGCAAACATTCTGACTTTGGAAGTCTCTTTTCTTTCTGTTTAGACCTTGGTTTCTTCTGTCTAGTGTGGGAAGTGGGCCTTGATTCCTACAGTCCCCTCCAGTTCTCACTTTCCATAATTCAGCCTACTCGCCCTCACTGGCTGTGCCATAGGTCTTCTCTCCAATGAAGTCTGGCCACCTGGCTGTTACCCTTGACATTAGGAGTAAGACAAGAGCTGTGCATCCTATGGATATGTTGCTTTTGTGGTTTAATCAAAGCATCAAGTTCTCTCTTTATGCATGGGGTTTTTTTTGTTTGTTTTTGTTTTGTCTTTTTCGTGACTGGTAAGGGCATCACAACCCTTGGTGTGGTGTCGCCCACACCACGTTCAGCCAGTGAGCGCACCGGCCATTCCTTTATAGGATCCGAACCCGCAGTGGGAGCGTCGCTGCGCTCCCAGCGCCGCACTCTCTCGAGTGCGCCACGGGCTCGGCCCTATGCATGGTTTTTAAGTGAAAAAATTTTGAAGTCTGCGGCTGTGATGCTTAAAATTTACTGTGCCTGAGAAGAACCCAGTTTCAGCATTTGAAAATAAAGTTTTGTGGGGATCACTTTTCTCCTTGAGCATAAAGGTTAGAGTATAAATATAAAAGGAAATCCTGGGTTGAAGTCCCAGGCACCTCATATTACCTGGGTGTCCTTGAGCATGTTGTCCAATCTCTCTAAGCCTCTCCTTCCTCTGAAGAATGGTGATCATACAAATGCCTACCACATAGGGTCATTGTGGGGATGCAATGTGTGACATGTGAGCATGGAAAGGGCTCAATGAAGCTTGACAATTGTTATATTTTATACTCATTTTAGCATAGCTAATCAGGATCCAATTGTGCCAAAATACGAGTATGAAATATAATCAAGAATGAACATCAGTGTGGGTGGAACAGATGTAGGTAAAAATAATGGACCACAAATAATTTTACTTGCACTGAAAAAAGAAAGCAAATGTTAAAGGCCTGTGTTTCTTTAAAGTGGAAGCTACTCTGGGGTCAATAGGAATGTGGACCTGGTGGGCTGAGTGGAGGGGAAGAGAACCTTGATGTAAAATAATAGTTCTCAACCTGGAATATTTAGAATTACCTAGGGAACTTCTTAAAAATACCAGTGTCTGAGCTGCACCCCTCAGGGAGTGTTACTTAATTGGTCAAAAGTGGGCCCAGATTTTTTTTAACTTCCCGGGTGATTTTAAGGTACAGCCGGCTTTGAGAACAGTGATCTAAAAACCTGATTAAAGGACTTTGTAATTTCTGAACTGGGTGTTATACAGAGGGAGTGACACAGAAGTAGGAATGGGGAGGGGAGGAGGGAAGAGAAAAGAAGATGTACTCTATCTGAGGCAGACACAGATATTTAAAGAACACACAAAAAGTTGAAAAACATGTTACAAGTATGAGCAGTATGACCAAAAATGCCTAAGTCTTACCCTAGGTCACAGCCACCTCTCTCTTTGAGGAAATTAAAGTGGTACCCCCAACCTGGCAGCAACAGAAAGCAAACTAACATTTATTCTTATTAGCTGTGGCCTTGAGCCCTGAATAAGCACCAGTGCAGAACATTTTAGTAAATGAGCGTAGCAAAAGGAATATCTCTGTTTCCCCCAGTTGCTGGCCATTGTGCCATCTTATCCAGTGGTTCACAATCTTGGTCCCATGTTGAAATAACTCCAGGAACTTTAAGGCTTAAATGACTGGGTTCCAGCCACGGAGACTCTGATATTACTGGTCTGGGGTATGGCCAGGACATGGTGTTTTTTTTGAATCTAATGTGAACCAGGGTTGATAGCACTGGTCTAATAGCATTTAAATCACCATAGTTTCTAATAATATACACTGAGCAAGTACATAACACTTGACAGTAAGATTTTACATTTACGTTTTGTACAAACCATTCAGTAGTCCCTGTAATCAAAAATGATTCATTACAATTTCTCCAAGGGAAAGGGAGAAGTGGGAAAATGAGTATTTGGAGCCTACTAGATGCCAGGCACTGTATATACTGTATCTCACTTAGTCCTCACAACATCCCTGAGAAGTAGGTTTTGTGATTCCCATGTTACTGATGAGGAAACCCAAACTCAGAGAGGGTAAGGAGCCCAGAGTGTCACTGTTAATAGGTTTCAGAGCATAGATTCAAACCTAAACCTGTTCTTCCCCAAAGCTCTCAGTTGCTTTTCACCACAGCACAGGACTTCAGCTCTTCCCTATTGAGGCCCACTTGTTAATTGCTCAGGCATTTACTGGGTAAAATGAGTGAAGCATTGTGCTAAGACCTACAGAGGCAGAGATGAATAAGACAGACGTGGCCCAGGCATCGGGAAGCCTATGTTTCTGTGAGAACATGGACAAGTTAATAAGGAACCAGCCTCAATGGAAGCATTCTGATGGGGGGATGGGCACAGGACATTGTGGGGCACATCAGAAAGAAACCTCAATACTTTATTTAAAGAGACCGACAAACTATTTCATTACGAATATATTACACTACTGAATGGAAAGAACAAACATGTCTTTTTGCACTTCTGAGAGCCCCTAAGTCAATGATTAGATTGAGAGCAGTCATGTCAACACAGGCAAACTCTTACTATAGATTGACCAATACTTACCAGCGATGGGTTTTGACTGGGACTCACGTCAATGTGTTTGGGGGCAGTGGAAGAGACTGGGGAGTTTCCTATTCTTCTAGGTGCGGGTGCAGTGAGTCTTCATGTTCCTCCCTTTTACTTCATCCACAGCATGATGTATTGTTGGAGAGTGCAGAGGTGCTGTAGGCATTGTCTTCATCCATTTTGTTTCCTGTGTTCATCTCACTTAAAACAACATCAAGCAAGATAGATGAAAATGCAGGGCCTGAGTCTCAGAGAAGGCTGGGAACCTATTGTGGGTGATGTCCTAAGCAGGTAGCTGGCTTCTTTGATGAGTTACCAGGCTTAGAGAGCCCATTTATGTGCAGTATGGCAGGGGTGAGCCATGAGCTTCACACAGAAAGACACTTTGCCCAAGCCCAGAATACTAAACACTAGAAACATGTGCAGAATGAAGATGAGCTGGAATAAATCTGCCCTGTGACTAGACGTGAGGAAGAGCTTTGACTTCTGCAGATGGATCTTGAATTACATTTCCAGAAAGTAAACATAGGGGTTAGAGGTCATCCCACTATGCCAAGCAGAGGTAGACATTTTTGTATTCTGACTCTATATTTCAGTCAGGGAGATGCTCTACCTCATCCCCTTGGTAATTGAAAATAGTAACTAGAGGGAGTTGACTGCCAAAAGAACAAGCAGTTCTTTTCTGTCTCCCACAGATATTTCAGGAGCTGGGACTTGGAATTATGCAACTGACAAAAAATAAACATGAAAAGATACTGAAATTATCACCATGTAACACTAAAAAAAAAGTTTCCACTCTCCCATATTGTCCTTATATAAAACACTATTTTTGCCTCCAGAAATGAATTTCCTTTAGCATATACAGACTTTCCTTACTCCTCCAGCTATATGTTGCAGGTGTGTTGGTGGTGGTGAATTTCTGACGGTATGAGTCAGAGTGATGGGGAAGTCTGCCAAAGGGGATTTACTTTTTTAGGTGGCCATATGTTGAGATTGGTGGGCTCCTTTTGTTTTGATCCCCATGGAAGTAAACTACCCTTTGGTGTGTTATCTGCTGGGCTCTTCTGAGTCTGCACCCCATTGTTAGTTGGGACTCTATTCTTCAGACAGGGTGTCAGCATCAGGACTACAGCTGCATTGCGTCGTAGATTATAGGATGAGGAGCTGGGGAAAGATGTGGACAGAACTAAGAAGCTTAGAGCCAGGTGAAGTCAGAGATCAGAATAGGCAAGCAATCCAGAGTTATAATTTTCCCAAAGCTAAGTATCTGGAGCAAGGCTGAATCAGAAAATGGTAGAAAATCAGAATCAAGAAACAATTTTCATCAAGTCAGCCTGATAGAGACCAGGAGAGCATGAATGTAAGAAGGCAGAAAATTGAAAGTATAAGGTAAGAGTCAGGAATCAGGAAAGCCAGGGAACTAAGGAGCAGTGATCTATATTTATTGTGTATATATGACACAATAAATATGTGTATTTGTCAGATGCTTTACATGCATTATCTCATTTAATCCTCCCAATGGGTTTAGGAGTTAGGTAGCTTATAAGGTAGGTAGGTAGGTAAAATCCTATTTTACATATGAGGAAAATGAAGCTTCTGAGAGCTTAGGTAACTTACCCAAGATCAGGATTCTATTCAGGAATGGTACCAAAGCTAGTACACTTCCCAAGTCATCTTAGAGAGCTAAATAAGGAATCAAATTCAAGTCACTAGCAGACAGAAGGACTTTGATAACTAAGGCAGCCCTTTTGTTGTGTCTCAGAATTTGTTAATGACCCTTCCTGAAGCAGAAATCTATCTGAGGAAGGCTACCTTGAGGCTGCTGGTGAAAATGTACAAATAGAACTGGTGTGGAAAAGAGAGTAGGAATGTGTGTATATGCACTCGTGTATGGGGAGAGGCATATAGAAAAAGTGAAACAAGGAATAGAGCCACTGCTTCTGGTTGGCAGATATTGCCTCAAGGCTCCTATTATAAGGCAGATGGTTGACAGTTTATTAATGCTGGGTGGTACATTCATAAACATTGGGAAGGGACACTTGCCAGTGACTGACTAGGCTTACTAATGGCTTTGAATCAGTAGAAGAATGAGAAAAACCTCCTTGTGTGGGCACAACTTTAATGTGATGGTTTTTCTAAGTGGATTAGCACTCAATATCCCTGTGGTGTTGCTAGGGTATGTTTATTGGATATGTTTGAGAGCTAGCATGTATTTCTAAGAAGTACTTTTTTTTTTTTTTTTTTGTCTTTTTCGTGACCGGTAAGGGGATTGCAACCCTTGATGTGGTGTCGCCCACACCGCGCTCAGCCAGTAAGCGCACCGGCCATCCCTATATAGGATCCGAACCCGCAGCGGGAGCGTCGCTGCGCTCCCAGCGCCGCACTCTCCCAAATGCGCCACGGGCTCGGCCCATAAGAAGTACTTTTTTAGGGGACCTAAATAGTGGACGAATAAAATCGCCACTGCCCAGATAGTCTCATCGGAGTGGATTTACCAACCAATGATAAATTATATCTAACCAGCTAAAAGAGAGTGTATCTTTGGCAGAAGTTCCTGAGACAGGATCTTTTTAATTTTTGTTTTGCATTTTCCAATATGATCCAGAAGCTTGCTGGTGAATATTCTGGGTGTTGGCAAATCCCCCAGCAGGGACTGCCAGGTGCTGTCTTGTCTAGGGATGGAATTCCAGAGAACCACCTCTCTCTCTAATTCCAGTTGATAATAAGGAGTTGATCATCTGTTGAAAAGTAATTCCCAGGCAAAGAATCAGTTAATCTGAAAGAGATGACATAGTTTGAGCATCCCAGACAAGGGCCCGTTATGGTAATCTGTCCAGTTTCACAGAAGGATATGTAGAGGCTGGGAGAGTGCTGATATTGGGTATTTCCAAATTCCAGTTTTCCTATGCATATTAAAGGAAATGCCATCTTCACAGTACTATTTGGTTTTTAATTGTTTACATTTTTTAAAATCAGGAATTGAGTTAATCTGTGAAAAAGACATTGATCTGGCAGCCCAGGTGCAAGAGCTACTGGAGTTTCTCCATGAGAAGCAGCATGAATTGGAGCTCAATGCGGAACAGACCCACAAGCGGCTAGAGCAGTGCCTCCAATTGCGACACCTCCAGGCTGAGGTCAAACAGGTGAGCCCGGCCCTTCCACCTCCAGCCCAGACTACTCAGCCACCTGAGCCTAGCCTGGGACTTGCCTCTGCTGTGAGTGTACAGAGCCACAGGTGTACCTCTTCAAGAAGCCAGAACTTAGAGAATAGGTAAGTTAAGGACTAGTTTTATTAGTTTCTGAAAGCTCAGCTGCTATAACAAATAGACCCAGTGGTACAGTGGCTCAAACTACAAATGCATTATTTGTCTCCCATATAACAATCTAAGGAGAGCATATTAGAGCTTTTCCAAATTGTCCTCAGTCACTGAGTCTATTCTCTTTCTATTCTCAGTTCTGTCATGCAGTCCATGGGAAGTACAGATCCTTTATCAACAAACATATTCAGCCTTTAGAGCCAGGTTGATTAATTTGGGGCACCTGTGTGCCTAGTAAGCGCCTGACACATAGTTGATAGTCAATAAGTGAAAGCAATTACTGTCATAATTTCCCAATGTGTGTGTGGTTCTTATAGGAAAATTTTCTAGATGTATTAAAGTTGATTTAAAAAAAAAGGCATTCATTATATTAGGCATTTTATCAAAGGACATACCCAGATCTCTGGGAATCTCTAGGAACATACACACAATGGTCAATGTCACATTTTAAAAATATTACATAATTATATTATGAACAGACTAAGTGGTGATTATCATAAGCCTAATGAATGGGGATTTATTTGAAGAAGTAAAAATGTAATAATAGTTCTATTTCTTGAGTGTTATGGGACTGTTACACACACCTTGATCAATGCTCACAACTGCTCTCTGAAGTAGATATTATTTCCATCTTACAGATGAGGCTGCTGAAGCTTAGAAAGGTCACCAGGCAATGGTCACACTGAGGAAAGAACACACCACCACCCTCCACAGGTGTAGGAGGGCTTCCCGGCAGAGTGGGCACCACACCACTTCAGTGGTCGCTCCTTTCTGCTCCACACTCTCCCAAGCAATCCTAATGCCTTGCTTCCTCTAGGCAGAGTCCCACCCACACTATGCTAAGCAGAGAAACATCTTCCTCTTTTAAACAGTTTTTTCTTATGTACAGTGGCTGCTGGAGCTTTTAGATTTAAGTCTATTAATTTAGTATGAGGGACAAAAATGACATATTTAACTATTGCTTGATCCCTTATATTAGGGGTATTTCTTGCTAATGCCTATGTCTTCATTTTTATATTGTTACTTATTATAATGGGCAAAATGATCCTCTCCACTCCCCTTCTCTTCCAGTGAACGCCCTGCCAGAGCCCATATACATGCTGTGCTAAAGATTTATATTCAGCACAGATGAAATCACTGAGCCCTGGGCAAGCCAGATCACAGTGCTGCCATCCAGGTTGTTTTCTGCTTGATTACACTGGGATCACACCTCAATCTCCAGAGAGAAATGTTATTTATGGAGATGTGGTGGAAATCCTAGCAGGCCCATAGCAGTAATAAGTATACAAATTCTGAAATTTAGTAGTACTTTCTTTTCATATCAGAAGTATTTTCTCATTTATGATCTCTTTTTAAAAAAACCGGCCCATGGGGAAAAGTGGTGTTATGCTTACTTTACAAAGGAGAAAACTTAGGTACCACAGGATTAGTGCTCCCAGGGGCCTCTA